AGCCTTAGACAGAAAGAGGTTTCACTAAAATAGGTTTTGTTTGGCAAGCTGGTGTTGAGCTCCACATTGGATTAAAATTTCCTTTTGGTTTTGGTGAAAACTAGGACAGAATAGTGGTTGAAAATCGAAATCCCCTTATTTTGAATTGTTTTGAGATATTTTGGTATATTTCTTTCAATGTTTTGGAATTAAAATTCTCGGATTTTTTCTCCATTTCCAATTTGTTTCGAAGATGTTTCCGGTACATTTATTTTCAATAGCTTTCATTAAGGCTGGTGAGTCCTCATGTATTAATTTTATTTTCCCCTTTTTCTGCTATCTTGGTTTTTTTAAGTAAATATGTATTGGTATATGTGAGAGGCATCAGTACTTTCTGTATTATGGCTATTGGTTATATAGTAAGGGTTCGTTTGGTTGCCGTATTAAAAATGAATGGATTAGATAAAGTAATACAATCTAATATAATACAGATAGATAAAAAACAATATTAAATATGGTATTAGAATAATACGTAATTTTATCTAGTATTTGACAATACACTATAAGTGTTGGATAGTAGTTATTTAATCTAATTAGTTGTGTGGTTAGAAAATTATTTTATTGCATTAATGTTGGATTAACAAAAATACCCTAAATTAGTGTTTGTTACATTGATGATAGATTGGTTTTATAACTTGAGGGATTATAATAGTAAATGTGTAAAATAATACGTTTGAGTTGTATTATAATACCACCTCTTTTGGTGGTGTTAAAAGACTTCCATTACATAGATCTATCGTATTGAAAATATATGATAAGTATACGATTAATATATGTTTTTAAAATTAATATGATATCAAATTAACTTACTAAATAAAGTATTAGGCCCGATTAGATAAAATATAATACAATCCAATATTTAATCTCCTCATAATATGTCTACCAAACGAGCCCTAATAGTAATGACTTTTTTTTTTTGGTCGAATAATAGTAATGACTAAATGGTGTTACTTATTATATAATAGAGAGGAGATAGCACACCATGGGTGCTCTTTTACTTCCTGTGTTATTCTTTTCTTATTTCTCTCTCATACCATGGTGCAAGAGCTTTGAACTGGGAGGTCTTGGATTCAAGTCCTTTTTATGCATTTTCTCGTAAATGAGTTTTTGCACTCTTTCAGCATTGTTTTATATGTTGGTCTCATTGCAATAACCTTTGCATTGCTTATCAAGTTTTATTTGCTTATTAGTTGAAATAAATTTCATCTCAAAATGGCTATTTACTTTACATGACTGCATATATTCGCTGCAATGATACATTCGAACCTTTAATATTGCGTGGTAGTTGCTAACATACCTACACCTGCCCTGTGGACCCCAAAGGTATCGGAAATATTGCTGTTGTCTTCGTGGTAAGTTGTAGCTATTTGTACAGTAACCTAACAATGCATAAGCTTGTGAATTCATGTGTACATAAAGATTAAAAGATCATTAACATTTAATGGTACTAAAGTCAAAGGTACAGAATGTAGACAAGTTGGGGTGAAATATGTTTTCTACTTTTTTCCCTTCATTTTCACCCTATGTTATTGGTTTATGAAGTGGTTGCGAACTTAGGGCTGCGTCTTAGTTATTATTTTTGTATCTAAAATTCTTTACTTTGAACCATCTCCTATCCAAAAACCTCCTAGCCTATTGGCATCTTCCGCATAGTGGGGATTCCACATTGTTAAGAGAGTTTCTATCCTTACATTGAATAGTTAGGACCAGCAAGGTTGGTTTATACACTTTAGGGGTCACTTCAGCCATTGCCAATTAGTTTTGGGTTGGATGATCTAACATGGTATCAGAGCTCGATATTAGGTGGTCAGTGAGCCAAGTCTCTTACCTATTTGAATTTCCTGATATACATAGTTGTTTGTTTGTTGACCCCATGTGCTTGCCCGGATTCCACATGAGGGAGGGTGTTAAGATTGTATCTCACATCGAATAATTGGGACCACTAAGGTTGGTTTATGCACTTGAAGGGTCACGTCACTCATTGCCAGTTGGTTTTGAGTTAGATGCTCTAACATAAATTAATTTGACATTGGCGGTTGTGGGAGTATGTTTATATTTAGACTTTGGCTGAGCTTACCATTAGAATGTGCAGAGTTAAACTAAATATATCTTGCTCATATCCATCCCTTTTCATTGTTTAAAAAAATATGTTTCTAGTAGTCAATTATCTCAATAGACTTAGAATGTTTTAATATGCCAAAGTTCTAGTCTATATCAAGCTATCCCTCCTAGCAGTGTGCGCCATGCAGAAGCAGAACAAAAACTGGATAATGGCCCTTGTGTTGGGTATTATAATATGCAAATGCCTGATGGAAATAGGAATTCTCCTAATTTTTTTTCTGGGGATACTGTTACTGCTCAACATGTCGTGATTTAGGAGAATGTTTTTGCAGCTTCTCTCACTTGCACATGGACACAAATTATGGCACCATTTGTGGCATGTAGAGTAAAACTAGGTAGCTGGGCATTCAGCCAACACGGTTGGTTCTTGTTGGAATCATAGATGGCCATATCAACTGGAATGGCTCCCCCAGTTACTACCCCTTTCCCATCATCGGATTTCCAGCTGATATATGCTTCAAAAACATTTGCTAAGATGCTTTATGTTGATGTTTGATCCAGGGGACTTGCTGGGGAAAAACACTTATCTTCATCTTCTAATTCTCATGATGATGAAGAGAAGTTTTTAGAACATATAGAAGTCTCTCATGCCAAGCGATTTGTAGCTGGCTCGGTTGAAAAGTCATACGCTAGTAAGACAATATCTGGTTCCCATGACACACCGTGCTAAGTATTTCATTCTCTTGAAATTTGCAACTAATATAATATTACTGCATTTCTATCAGGGTCAACCAAAGCACCTTCAGTTGTGCATGATTTAGAAATTGATACAGTGAAGCCTGCTCCTCATAGTGGCCTGCCTGTAAGTGAGAGTGATGGGGTGAAAAGATCAAGTTCTACTCTCCCATCAGCTCCTTTGAACAAAGGGTCCTTTGACGGACTTGATACTTCAATTTCTCCTGTATTATCTCCAAAGATTGTTTCTTCTCCTGAAGGTGTTGTAAATAGTCCATCTTCTCCCAAGAGTGACTCACCTTATACCGGAGGAGCTGCTGCAAGAGAAGTGAACTCCTCAAACACTGTTGTGACCAATGAAGCTTCAATTACAAGATCTAACCATTCTGATTTGAGTATGAACAGTCTTGATGACGGTCCAGTGCATGATGATATGCATGGCTCACTAGATTTTAGGCAGTATTTTCAAGAGGGGTATTGTAAAGCATCAAGTCATGATGAATTCCGGCAGTTAACTGATATCGACAGCAGCCATAGTCCTCTTGAGAAGGAGAAATCCGAGGATGATGGAGAAATTGACGACATGCTTGGAGGTGTATTTTCCTTCTCTGAAGAAGGTGGGTAATCTGAAGAATGTAAAATTAATTTGTTTTGCTCGTCTTCTATGATCTCTAGCAACTTAGATGGTATGTGCATTCATTTAAAAAATCTGACATTTTTTCGACTTGGTTCTAAAATGCATGCCATGCTCATCAATTTTGGGGCAACATGTTTTGGGGCATTGATTGTCTCTTGTAACCCATTGCCTCAAATGTCGGGGTGGGAGGGATGTAGCTTAGGACTCATCTCTTTACTGCCTCCTGTCTACAAGCTCATAGCAAATGACATCACTTCCTGCCATTGTGCAACAATTTGAAGGGCCTGAAGCTCCATTAATGAAGCTTAATTTATTTATTGATTTTGGCTCCCAATAAAATGTAGTTTGCTTTGGTTTTTCTTCTTTCAGGTTGATCTTGCCCCTTGTTGGAGTCGTTAGATGACAAAATGCTACTAACTAATTGATATTGACAAAAGAGGATCGACATGTGTTCGTGTGTCTTCCCCGTGTCCCGGGAGCGGAACTGCCTGGTTTCGCCTAACTAATTCTCGTGTACATGTTGTATATTGAAATTCCTGATATAACTGATTTGTGTGGACAAGTTCTTTGTTTATGTTGTGTAACATTATTTGTTTTGCAAAGAAAAAGAAATGAGAAGGAAGATGAAAAGGAGAAACTGATTCATTTGTACAGTGCAAATTGTTTATCTGGCAGGTTATGCTTGAGTAAGTTATGTAGATGGTACCTAATGCCTAGAAATGCCAAGGGCAGTGTCCTACATTTCCTGACAACTTCTATGGGGGACTTTTAAGGTCTCTCATGAGTTAGACATTTTGTAGAATTGATCTTCAAGATCACTTTTTTATTTTTCATATCATTCATCTTTGTCAAGACCTCCTTTTATAAGCTTTTAACCATAATAAAGATTAATTTTTTATTTTTTGGGAGGGAAAGGGGAAAGGGGAAAGGGGAAGGGGGATGATGTTAGAACTCAATCACTTGCGGGCAAAAGTGAGCATTTATTGCTGGACTACTCTCTCATGGAATTAAAGGTAAAGTTTACAACAAATCTCTTTGGGTGTATCAAGAGATGAGGATTATGGGTTGTGCATTATACTAAGATAATAATATCTCATTAAAACATTGCTAGAAAAAATCCAATGAAATAAATCCTAGAGAAGGGAAAAAAATTGCATATTTTGGTGAATCTTAGAATAGTGTTAGACACACTAATCTTGTCTTATTAACACACTATGCCAAGAAAATTAGTGGGATTAAACTTGGATGAAGAGAGACAATAAGTAATAGAATAGATGGTTGTTTAACACTAATAAATATGGACCGTTGATTGATTTCTTTTAGTATATCAAGTTTATATGTAGTTCACATAGATAATCCATGATATGTTTTATGCCATTTAAATATGGTTGAGTTGCTGAAGAATTAAATCTTATCACTGAATTGACTGCAAATGTTTTATCAAGTCTAAAACATTTTTACAAGTCGAGAAAATATTTTATTTTTTCAATATCTTTCATCTCAAATTATTTTTCTATATATTTAACCAATTTCATTAACTCTTTAGTACAATCAGATTCATATTATCAACATATACCACAATTATGGAAAATTCAAATTTTAAGTTTTTCAAATATACATGGGAATATGTAATTGTTAACATATTTTTATTTTACCAAGTAGTTCCTCATATGATTATACCATATTTGACTATATTTTTTTATTTATAAATTTCATACATGGATCATCTTAGCTTAATTGAGTACATATGCTTGATTTCAATATGTCTATTTTAGGCAATTTCATTCATTTAGGGACTTTTATAGAGATGTTGGAATCTAGCATTTCATACATATATGCAATAATTACGTCCTTAACATACATGCCACGTCTTTGTAAGACAATTATGGACATAACTGGTGAGATTATATATGAGAGGAATCGATGAGATTTACTCTTCACTAGACTAGATATTGCTTGTCCTTAAAAGTGGTAAATTTGAAACTGCTCAAAAAATATTGTATAATAACTCGAAAACACCAAGATTGTCTTCACAAGAAAACAAGGACAAATTCGAATAGTGATATTATCTAAACAAAAATAATTCCTTTTTGGTTTTCAAAGATGATGATGATTGGTAAAAACTAAGGAACAATATTAAAATAATCAGGCTAATCGTCAGATTTCATCCCACCATGAATAAGACTTTTAACCCAATTTATAACTCATCCAAGATCGTAATCAAACTCACTTGGACGGAAAATATTTAACTAAAATAAAAAATTAGAAAATATGTATTTTGATGACAAAATTAATTAGAATTGGCATCATGTTGTTTGCAGGGGCTTCAAGAATTATCTGTACCAAATTCAATTGTCTACGGTCAATCAAAGATGTTTATAAATCAACCATGTCGTCAAAATTAATTATTTCAATTAACAAAATAACTGTAAGCATTGATACCTCGTTAGGGTCAAAATCACCCATTCACGAATAAGAATCCCTCCTCTGATAACGTTGGAATTAAACTACTCACACATATCGTGTATGGAATTCAATGCAATTATAAGAGACATATCAATCTAAGAGAAAACAAAACTATATTGAAAATAAAATTGAATCCAATACTTTGTGTCTAAATGAAAACAAAAGATTAATACCACGTAAGAAATCAAAAGTACTTCGTATTTAAACTAAACAAGAAAACAAAAACGAATAATGGAATGTTTATACATTTTGCTGAAGAAAATCGTAGAAGAAAACATTGAAGAAACCCTAGTAGGAAAACGACGAAGAAGAAGATGCCCTAGAAGTCCAAAATTGTGCAAAGAGGATCCCCTTTCCTCTTAATCTTTTAGTTTTTAAGAGGAAGAGATGGCCCAAATCGTAATCCTCTCCTTTCCTTTCATGTCTGTTCCCCCTCAGAAAAAGTCTTGGGAAAATATCCCTGAAGATTTGCCAATAAGAAATTTCCAAAATAGGAGTCGTAGTTGTGTTTGACTGTCTTCTACTGGTACAAAAGGATGAATGAACCGATACAAGTCCTCTCTGTCCATAATGAACCGGTAGGATATAGGTAAAATTAGTTGATCAACTCTCTGCTAGCTTTGACTTCAGATGAACCGATACCAAACTACGAATGAATCAATAGAAAACTTTTTGTTAGCGATGAATCGGTTCAGCTATACTGTTACAGGTATAACTTCTATCTACAAATTGTTGAATTGGTACAAGTCCTATTGATGCTGCTGGTTTGCTGTTCGATTTGTCTAGCTTACTTTCGAAGCCCCCCAAAGCATCAAACTAAGTGTAAAGCATCATTCTTACACTCCATTGACCGAGACGAAGATTGTTCCGTCTGCTATTCAGCCACCTACACTAGAGTTGAAGCCACTACCATCTACACTCAAGTATGCATTCTTGGGTAGTGGAGAGGCCTTTCCGATGGTGGTCAGTTCATCATTAAAACCAAAAAAAGAAGAAAAATTGTTGAAAGTCTTGAGAGCTCTCACGGGAGCTATTGGTGGACCATAACCGACATTAAGGGGATCAATCCCCTTATTTGAACAAACCAAATATATCTAGATGATGATGCCAAGTCATCTTGACAATCACAAAGAAGACTGAATCTGATTATAAAGGACGTGGTTTGAGCTAAAGTCCTAAAACTACTTGATGTGGGAATCATCATCCCAATTACTGACAGCAAATGGATGAGCTGCACACAAGTGGTACCAAAGAAGTCGGTAATTACTATAGTCTCCAATGAGAGCAATGAGCTGATACCTACTCAAGTAGTGACTGGGTGGAAAGTTTGTATTGATTATCAGAAACTCAACTTCTGCATCCGCAAGGATCACTTTCCACTTGTATTCATTGATCAAGTGTTGGAAAGGGTAACTGGTCATTTATTCTACTGTTTTTTGGATGAATACTTAGGCTACAATGAGATCGAGATTGCTCTAGAAGATCAGGAGAAGACTACCTTCACTTGCCCCTTTGGGACATTTGCTTATTACCTTATGCCATTTGGGCTATGCAATGCCCCGGGGACGTTTCTGAGGTGCAAGATTGGGATTTTTAATGATATGGGCGGAAAAGTTATGGGGTATTTATGGATGCCTTCTCATTACTTGGTGATTCATTTGAGGGTTGTTTGGAAAATTTGGAGAAGGTGGTGGTGAGGTGTAAAGAAAAGAATTTGGTGCTTAATTGGAAGAAATATCATTTCATGATAATTCAGGGTATTGTTTTGAGACATACAATGTCTAAAATGGGAATAGAGGTAGAAAAATCGAAGATTGAGTTAATTTCAAACTTACCTACCCCTAAAACTGTGAAAGATGTGTGGTCATTTCTTGATGATGTCGGGTTTTATAGACAATTCATAAAGGATTTTAATGCTTTGTCACAACCTTTATGTAATCTTTTGGCCAAGGATGTTTCTTTTGCGTGGTTACTAGATTGTGCGGTAGCTTTTAGAAAACTGAAAAATGTGTTGAATTTACATCCAATCATTCAGCCACCAGACTGGGAATTTTCATTCGAGCTCATGTGAGATACAAACGATTATGCAATTGAAGCAGTATTAAGCCAACGACAAGATAAGAAACCTCACGTCATTTACTATGCTAGTAAGACCTTAAACGAATTACAAATGAATTTCACCACCACTGAAAAGGAATCACTAGCTATAGTTCTTGCTTTAGATAAGTTTAGAAAGTACATCATTGGTTTGCCTATTGTTGTTTATATTAATCACTCTACTTTGAAGTATTTGTTGTCTAAATAGGATGCCAAACTGCGACTCATTAGGTAGATCCTCCTCCCACAAGAATTCTAATTGATCATCAAAGAAAAAAAAGGAGTTGAGAATATAGTGACCAATCTCTTATCATGGCTTATTTTTTAGGACACATAAGAGCACATACCCATACCTGATAATTTCCCTAATGAGCATTTATTTTTTGTTGATACAATGTGTCCCTGGTATGCTGACATAGTGAATTTCCTTGTTACAAGGCAGATACAAGCTCAATAGAGTCCACAAAGAAGAGAAAATTCCTGGTGGAGGTGAAGAAGTTTTATTTTGACAACCTATATCTGTTCAAGTACTATCCTGACCAGGTCATAAGAAGATGCATGCTAGATGGTGAGCAACAAGATATCATCTCCTTTTGCCACTTAGATGCATGTGGGGTCATTTTCCTTCAAGAAGACTGGAGCAAAAATTCTGCAATGTGGTTTCTACCGGCCGACTTTGTTCAAATACTACTTCCTATTCTGTAAGATTTATGACCAATGTTCGAGGTTAGGTAGTGTGACCCAGTGAAATATGACGCCTCTCACCCTAATCTTCATTATTGAGGTTTTCAATTATTGAAGCATCGATTTC